ACTACTGTATCCGATGAGTCAGTCCATGTCTAATGAAGGATACTAACTCACTTGAGCGTTTCCAGCGTGAGGGGACGAAATTGGTGAAGGGTTTTTCTAAACTTCCTTACGATGAGCGTTTAAAACACCTAAACCTTTACCTCTTGTCTTATCGTAGGACGCAAGGTGACCTTATACCGGCATTTCGTATCTTTAATCATGATATGGGTGTTATGATGTCCTATCTTTTTGTTCCCTCCAGCAGTTATAATCTCCGCGGTCAAAGCAAAAAGGTTTACAAACCACGATCTAATAAACTAAAGGTGGGGTCCCGTTATTCTCATTGAGTGATCAATGACTGGCACGCCTTACCCGAAAAAGTGGTATCAGTTCAATCAGTGAACATTTTCAAGGAGAAGCTGGACCTTCATTGGAGGTCAATCTGTCAGGATCAACACAGGTTCACCAACCTACTATCCTTAATACCGAAGACTGAAGATTGAACAGCGTAATATCGGAATTCGAAAAAAGAAGAGTTGTGAGATATCGTATTTCAAACAAACTTCGTCGTTTGCTGCGGCTAATAAGCTAACCTTATTGGCATATTCGTTACATCAAGTACCTTCTCCGTAGAATTTATATTCAGCTAACCAGTCACAAATGATTATAGAAAGTTTTTCTTAGATACTGCCACTGAACATTTTTATTAAATATCGGAATGACAATTATCCGAACTCGGTTTTAATAATAATAATACCGACTGTATTCAAAACTCTATGTTTAGTACAATATGGAGTACTCAGTGCAAAATATAGCAGTTGAACATAGGACTCCATAACTGGAAGACAAACGCCTTAACCTCCAGGCTACTGCCTCACTACTCTGATTACTTCCATTCAAAATCTGTTTATATGCGTCCAAATTTATGTTTGCTTTGCCGAATTCTTGTTTTTTTCAGGTTTCTCTGCCACTCAAACGTTTTTGTTTCGCTTCTATAGTTTCTGATGAAAAATCACTTTATACTAAATGCACAAGCGATAGAAATTCTTAGTTCTGATCTCGTCAATTACTGAATTTCTACTATACAGAATACATCTTTAAACTGTAACGTTTTATACCTAAACTTACACAAAGGTATCGGATATCTACCTTGGCAATTTTACAACATGACAAATACGTTTACTGACACTAAAAATGAAAATAATGGTTGAATGTAAGGTATCTTTGAATATTGCAATATGTGAAATATGAGATTTACTTACGCAAGATGACTTTTAGTATAAACGTGAGTTTCCGACCCAAAGCGCTATACGAAATAGCTTTGATGAATACAACAGCCTGCAGTTTATATTAAAGGATTACTTGAAGAGAACGTACAGAAATTCGTGGATGTTTAGTGTCAATGTATTCCCAGTACTTTGAATTTTCTTCGATTTTATACTAAACCATCTGATTTCCGAAGTCCACAGCAAAAAACAAATTCAGGAATTGACCCGGGCAAGCTACACAAGTTTATTTGATGGCATTTCAACGATGTTTACAAAATAAATGACAAGATTTTGTTATTACATTCACGACAATCTTATGTTAATTTACGGAAATATGATATTGAATAATTTGTTGTCGAAATATATCACATTGAAAAGCTATATAATGCAACTACTATAAAAACGTATGGTGTTTCTTAGTCAAGCATCTTAACCTAGGTCGTGACTCTATACTATTATATGATACGAAATATTATATATGTGTAGACAATGCATTATACATATTATATTATAATATTACGCTTGATATATACATACGAACTGCAGTTGCTATAATTATTAAATAGTCCTTTTATAAGTAGATCGTTTTACCTGCACCATGTTATAACATACGACCCTGTAAGTTGTTTTTTCAAATTTCATATTTTTGACACCCGGCTTCAATTTTACCTTGTTTATCAACTTCTAGTTTGACTCTCCATCTACATTATTTTCATTGTCTTATTTGTTCGTCAACTAGTTAAAAGGTTCACAGAATTTTCACCGACTCCACTATAGCGTTCATCACAAAGTTTTTGCTAACGGAGCTTTTTATTAAAACAGTGGACTAAACACTATTCTGACATTATGAACATCTATTATATTGATGCCGTGCATTAATATTAATACTGAACAAGTGTAAGTGACTACCAACGATATTGTTGCAGTTTAACCTGTGTTCAATATCTATTATCTTCGAGTCTAGCATTAGCCAAATGGGTTCTTCGCACTTTATTCTTCTTGTTTCGGTACGATTACAGACCACTGATGACAAGATGGGTTTGTAGGATCCTTCATAGATGCGTGAATGTTTGGAAATCCTCTTGCATTCATCCCATATGGTAATAACCTTTGTTCCACTCTGAATGTAAAGTCGCTCTCCTCAATCACCTAATTTCTGTGTTTCGTATCTATTTTGATGAGATACTACGTTATTATTATTATTCACTTTTTACTTATAATGGTGTTATCACTCCTGATATATAATACTGTCTTAGTTTTTTATGTTGGTTTGTTCTCTGAGCTGGATGGTTTGGTCGTGGAGCTTTCATCGTCCTTCTGAACGACATCATCAGCACAAACTTCGGGTAGAAGTTTGTGCTGGTGATGTCGTTCAGAAGGACGATGAAAGCTCCACGACCAAACCATCCAGCTCAGAGAACAAACCAACATAAAAATCACCCACCTGAGCTACAAATCTTCTCTACTGTCTTAGTTTCTGTTTAAAAACTCCGGGAATTGTCAGGTGTTATTTTGATTCTCTATGGTTGACTGACTGCAATTAAATTGGTAGAACCGTCAGACTAATTGTAAACAGAAATATATATCCTGTTTGGCAAGAACAACTGCCAAATAATATGTTTGGGGCTCATTATTGATTTAGAGACATTAAAGATTCCTACTGTGGAAATTAGATTGACACATGTGGACGAAAAGCCGTGTTTTCAACTGAATTTGTCCACTTGATATCTTAGAGTTTTTATTGTCATTATTTTGGTTCACGTTGTGCTGCATAGTTCAAGGAAGAACTTGTGAGGTCTTTAGTGATCTACACTTTTACTTACGTTATTCAGTACAGCTATGACCTCTGAAACATCCTTACATACACTTCTGTAGATAGGTGAACAACTAACCAAGGAGCAGGTTATTCGGGACAGTATTCTGAAATCTATGAATCGTAGACCTCACAATAATCAATATTTTCTGGTATTCACAATATTTGACGTGTTATCTAGATTGAGAGAACTGAAAAATAAGTAGAGGAAAGAAATGTTACGGGTTCAATATCAGTTGAGTTTAGGTAAATTGAATGGTCAAATGATAACTGTTAATCTCAAAGTTCAGTTAGATCTCATAAAAGAAGACTTGCTCATGGGTGTCTAATGGGTGTCTTATTGAAAGCTTGTGTAAATCTATGAGGGTAAAAGTCTCAAATTTGATATTGAATCAATATTATCCTTCATTATGAGTGGATTTCAGTCGGTCTAAAAGGATTAAAAAACTGATGCCATAGATAATGATAGGTAATGGATATGAATCCAAAGCTGGTTCTTGAATAATGTACCCATAGTGACACTAAAACTCAAGTTACATTTACTATGAAAGTGGACTATGATTACCACATGATTCTTCAGTAGAGATATTATGAGCTAGAGTATATAATTCTTATTTACGTGTTAGTAAATGAACTGTAAGTGATTCCTATATTAGCTCGAAATAGGACCTATGTCAAGAAAACAACATGCGAAATTCGGTTGAAAATAAGCGAGTTGATATTGATACTGTTTTCCTCATCTCCTCAATAACAACGTAAATGCTAGTCCGAAACAATACTTCAACATTACCACAAACCCATGAAATAGGGTCTGTAAAATTGGTAAAAATACAAAAAATAACTCGTTCTGCAGCATGATCTTCAAAGTTGTTTGTTTACAACAGTTGTGAACCAACGTCGATGATGTTAGTGCATAAATTAGTTGACCACATACGTATATTATCAATGTAGGTAATTTGCACGGACGGTTGAGGCTTACTGTAACTGGATGGAAGTGGTGTGATCTAGTTTGCGCGGAGGACAAACCTCACGACTGATGTCTAACCCGATTTATCCTGCTGCAATAAACGACTGAATTGGATCCCTTGGCGATAGCCCAGAATAAATACTCTCAATGCCCTTAAAAGTAATTGGGTCCTTGACATGGGATGGTTGAGGTGATTACCTGTTGTCTGCAACTTTCTTTTCACCCCAATAACACAGTTTCAAGAAAAGCTACTTCCGCATTATCAGTCTGCCGAATACGGTGAATATTTCGCACTGGTAGGTACCCCTCGTTTTATCGATAGAGGAAACCAGAGTAGTAGTGAATAAGTCTTTGTTTCGACTGTGGAACGGAGCGGCTGGAATGTGTGGTTATCTGTTTTCAGACCTAAAAAGCTTGTGATTGGTCAAATTATGGCCAAGGTTGTCCAAGCGCCTTCCCAGGAGTCCTTCAGGAGGAGACGTAGCATATTCTTAAAAATCCGGAACAACATTTCTTTATTACTTGCTTTTTTCGCTTTTGCTTGTTAGATATGCCGAAGTTTGTACCCAGACTCATCGATGACCCACTGCTATCAGATGCGGAGCTCTTTAAGTAAAAGTTTATTCTATTCTTCTACAACCATTTCGACCAATTAAACTTCTTGATTATCTATGCACATAAAAACCAACACACTTCTATTACTCAAAATAGAATAACACAGACAAAATCATGTTCAAGACAGCCATATTGTCACACGTTTACAAACCAGTAGAGCCTACATAAAAACTTCGGATTTACATTATATTTCTCGATTAGTTCAAGAACCATGCTTTTTCTCTTTCCTCTTTCAAAAATTTGGGAATTTTCTTCAAGACAAAGTTACATGTATATAGAAATATAAAGTTCACACTTACCCAAAATATCGATATTGGATAATGGTCATCGAAGATTAGTTCTAGATGACCTTGCGCTGAGAAAATATTAGGCGCCTAATTGCATTCCTCAATGGTTTGTGTTTATCTATTTCGTTAGTTTTTTTTAGTTACCTGTGACACTCCTCAAGGCTGCAACGAATCTTCCTATGGTAATTTTATTTGTTGTCTTAAAAATATTTTCAGCTCGTTGAGTTGAAAAGTGGTGAAACTTATAACGGCCACCTTGTCGCTTGCGATGACTGGATGAACATTCATCTTAAAGAAGTTATTTGTACATCTCGAGTAAATCATATAAATATGCTGAGCTTACACTTCATAGGATGGGGATCGCTTCTGGAAAATGCCGGAGTGTTATATTCGTGGGAGCATAATAAAATACTTGCGGATTCCAGACGACGTAATCGATAAGGTTAAAGAGGACTTGCAGCTGGCTAAAATGCGTAATCGTTCTCAGTCTGCAGACACTGGGCGTGGTGGTTTTCATAGAAATAAGGCTAGAGGTAATATAACTCAGTTTTCGTATAGTTCTCGTTAGACAATATCCTATAGTTTGTGCTTACGCCCATGTATTTTCATTCATAACTGTGATCTTGTTAACCAGCATCTCAGCTGATATTCGTGTTTTCTTCGGCGTGCTTCGTCTTTTTCTCAAAACATTGTGCTTATCACCTATTTCCATGAATTATTTAAATATCGTTAATATTGCATTTTGAGACCTCAGAACTACTGGCAATATATATATTTATCCAAAGGGTATTAAATTGCATATTAGGGAGGTTTACTATTAAAATCGTTTTAATATGGTGCCACTAGGAGGCTTCACACATTAGCAAAACATGATAGCACTATCGGTGAGACTATAATGTACGGACAAAGCAATCAGATTTACGACAACAGGTTTTGAATTTTGGCACAAAATTCATTCACTCATTTAGCTAAATAGAGTTTTAGCACTATGGCTGACGTCACTTCGTGATGGAAATTGTAAATCTAATTCCTAACTATCAACTGTAAATATTAGTCCTGATTCCTAGCACTGGTTTATAACCTTTATTTAGCCTAAGTATGTAGGTGGACATTCTCAAGATCTTTTCAGCGTTCATCAAAGATCGTCCATAAATTATAGTCTCACCACACTATCTTATTTTCAAAGGTGTTTCCATTTTAATAATTTTCTTTTCTTTACTACCTTATAACTTTTTCAAAGTACTGAGTAAACGACCGCTTTTCGTGAGTGATCGAAGCTTCCAGTAATTACAAGCATGGTCACAAAACCGTCTAGGTAGTGTTGCACTTTTGTATTTACTGTCCTGAGCATTATCCGTAATACTCCTGCGTCAAGTGTTCGTAAAACATACAGACTTAGCCTATCGTAAACAGCGTATGGTTAAAAAAACGAGAATACCATAGTCCAAGCAAACGTGCTGCTCATAATGAGTCCAAATAGATAAACTTGTTTGTGAAGACACTATTGGTCGTCAGTGGTTATAGCGAACCCCCCGAATGCCCTGGTACGGTCGAGAGTGGGGGGAGTCTGCTCTCCCTTTCGAAATGCTCTCACATGGCCACGCGTATATAGCTCCTGCCAGAGAAGTCCTACTCACTGTCTTCTCGTGGCGGGAGTGTTGTTCACGAAAGTGAGAGAACAAAAAGCGAGTGTCCGGCGCTTTAACCGGATTGGTGGATGTGGAGTGTCCACCTAGGGGAGTTGGAAAACCCTGATTCCGAACCAATGGTGTACATGGGCTCCAGGATCTTGATGGAACGAATGGCGTATAAACCAACTGTCGGTCACCGGCTACCATGGGACTGCATCTCTTCACGATGCTCCACTGTCTTGTGTGTTATACCTTTAGGTCAAAGGCTCGGGGTGTGGTCCCCTAACAAAACCACCTGCTTAGGTTTGGGCCCCTGGGCAGCATCACAGCCCTCACACAAATAAATGAAATGATGACTTGTACTGACGATCCTATTTACACGCTTACTATATACCAGATAATTTGCATTACTATTATTATTATTATTATTATTATTATTATTATTATTATTATTATTATTATTATTATTATTATTATTTACCATATCGCTAATTCACCCCCTTTTATCCCCAATTTGTGTAACCTTACTTTTTAACTTATGCAGCAGCTCGCCCATGGTGGAAAATCTGTCCTATCTAAACGATCTCCAGTCACTGTCTGGTTGAAAGTGAATGCTTCCACCGATTATGAATACTGAAGCAGTCTTTCTGAAACCACGTACGCTGTTCAAGCTGGCTTCCTTCAACGTTCGCACACTAATGCAGATCAGACAAGAGATGGGGCTGGCTTTGTCTTTAGAAAGTCTTAATGTTGATGTTTGTTGTCTATCCGAGACCCGTATTCAAGACTCTAGTGAAGTACTACAAATCCGTTCTCCATCTGTCGCCTCGAAAAGCTTGTTCCACGTGCGCTTATCCGGGGACCCTGTGGCATCCTCGTCTGGTCGTGCTGGCGTTGGTGTTGCACTAAGCGCTAGATCTGAGGCAGCACTAATCGATTGGATCCCCATTAACAGTCGGTTATGTGCTGTTAGATTAGAAAGTTCCATCAAAGTGAGAAGAAATCGGCGTGAGAAACGGTGTCTTTTCGATATCACCTATGCCCCGACAGGTTGCAGCCCAGATGCAATCAAGGATGAGTTTTACCACCAGTTAACTGTTCTCCAGAAAGCGCGTTCGACAGATATTGTGGCACAAGCTGAAGACTTGAATGCACAGGTTGGGCGTCTAGGCGAGTAAAGCCGCTTGCGGCTTCGCGAAACGTCTCTCTTATAAGCACTGGGTTTCTTCTGGCTCCTTACAACTGATGGAAGCCCGTCGGTCTACTCCGGGTGACCGTGAGTTTGACCACAAACGAAGGCTGTTACGTAATGAAATCGGGCAAAGCTTGCGTAAGGACCGGGAAGCCTGGTGGTCGGAGCGTGCTAATGAGATGAAGGCAGCAGCTGCATCTGGTAACTGCCGGAAGCTCTTCCAACTCATCCGAGCCACTGGCAGCAAGAAGTCTGGTGTGAGTGAAACAATCTACGAGGATGACGGGATGCCAATCACTAACATCTCTCGACGTCCTGGACGATGGGCTGTTCAACTGGGCAGTTCAACTGGCCTGCTGCTCCGGCAACACTAACCAGTTTGTCCTGCCCCCTATGGCCGGTAACGACTGACCCACCGAACGAGGCGAAGTCCGCAAGGAACTCTAACTCTTGAAGCGCTACAAATCACCGGGCCCAGATGACTTACCTCCAGCTCTTTTTAAAGATGGTGGTGACTTTCTGGTTAAGGAATTGACTGAGTTGTTCACAAAGGTCTAGGAACTAAATACTGTTCCAACACCATGGAACGAGTCGATAGTTATCCCGATCTTTAAAAAGGGTTCACGTTGTTACTGTAACAATTATCGGGGATAAGTCTACTTCCAATTGCGTCCAAACTATTGGCTTCTGTCATTCTTCGTAGGTTGTTTAAAACCCGAGAACGATTGACTCGCGAGGAGCAGGCTGGTTTTCGTTCTGGTCGAGGATGCATTGATCATATCTTCACCCTCCGCCAAATTTTAGGACACCGTCATACTTATCACAGGCCAACAATCGTAGTGTTTCTTGATATCAGAGCTTCCTTCGATTCGTTTTACAGGACTGTTCTCTCGGATTGTCTTTTGAAGAAGGATGTGCCTGAGAAGTTTATTAACATCTTAAAGGCCCTGTATACGAACACCTCAGGAAGAGTAAGGGCATACAACCACCTTTCTCCCTTGTTCCATTCGAGCAGTGGGGTTAGGCAGGGTTGCCCGATCTCACCATTCCTCTTCAACTTTGCCATCGACGACATCCTGGAAACAGCTCTGGTGGATGTAAGTAATGGCGGTGTGGATCTTCTGCCTGGAGACAGACTTCTGGACCTTGAGTATGCGGATGATATTGTCTTACTGTGCGATAATGCCCAAGGCATGCAATCCACACTTAATCAGTTGCCAATCAGTGTCCGCAAGTACAGCATGTGCTATGCACCCTCCAAGTGCAAAGTACTCCTACAAGACTGGCAGGATTCTCATCCTGTACTCACCCTAGATGGTGAGCAGATTGAAGTAGTTGAGAAGTTCGTGTATCTAGGTAGCTATATAAGTGCTGGTGGTGGCGTGAGTGATGAGATTGATGCACGTATAATGAAAGCCAGAGCGGCTTATGCCAATCTGGGCCATCTTTGGCGCCTTCGTGATGTTAGTCTGGCTGTAAAAGGTCGGATCTACAACGCGTCGGTGAGAGCAGTTTTGCTCTATGCTTGTGAAACCTGGCCTCTCCGAGTTGAGGATGTTAGACGTCTCTCTGTGTTCGATCATCGTTGTCTCCGAAGGTTTGCTGACATACAGTGGCAACACCATGTTAGTAATGCAGAGGTTCGGCATCGTGTGTTCGGGCGCAGAGACGATAATTCAATTGGTGTCACCATCTTGAAACACCGACTTCGGTGGCTTGGACATGTTTTACGAATGTCGCCCCAGAGAATTCCACGTCGTGCATTATTTGCCGACTCTGGGACTGGTTGGAAAAGGCGGAGAGGAGGTTAGTGTATGACATGGTGTCGGGGTATGAAAGAAAACTGCAAAGGGCTAGCTTCTGTTGGTCCTTCACGACTCCCTGGCTGGGATCCGAGAGATGGTGCAACACAGTGGCTAGAGACGTTATCAGATATGGCTCAGAATAGAAGCCAGTGGCGATCCTGCTGTAACCTCATTTTACTTTCTTCATAAAGAGTGGTTATAACTTCCTTAACTGAGAGAGTTCTTCTGGTTGTACATTTCAGTTCCCCCCATCATTACTCTTCTCTTTTTTTTCCTTCTTTCATATATACGCACCTCCCCCTTTTCTCTTCTTATTCTCATTATTTTGTGTATCCTGTGCCCTTTGTACCAATATGTATGTTATTAAATAGATAAATAAATAAACCCTCCACGTTTAATGGTGTTGGTCAGGGTCGCCTGCTCTGTCCTACTCTATAACTATGGAACAGTCTACAAATGTAGAAGATAGGCATAAGCTGAAAGCCTTTGATATTTGGTGTCTTCATAGCATTACTCACATCTCATAGGACGATCGGGTGAGCAGTATTCAGGTTTGGCAAATTGAACAATGAAGTAGTGCAACTTCAACTGAGATGGTCGGGACATGTGTCTAACCCTCATTTACCTTGACGAGCTGTGTTTTCTAGTTCGCAAGTAGGTTTGAAATAAGCTCGAGGTAATCAGACCAATCTTTGGAATCATCGGTTGTTGATCTGAGCCTTGTTGAAGGATGTGTGCTACCTAGTTAGTGTCCGTGTAACCACTGTGGCCTGTGGTTGGAAACTCCAAGTGACAGCTCAGAATCGTCCACAATGGCCCAGATATATGCATTCTTTATTGTCCTTTTGGGCTTGAATACTAGCATTTCTTCATGTAGACTTTTCCGCTTTGTCTTTTTAAACCATATTCCCAAGCTTTGGTTTTTCTGCCATTGCTACTGTATTATTCTAATCTCTTGTTATTTTCATCTTTTCGTTCTTTGGTGCGGAATTTTTGGCCAAAGCATATCTGTAACAGCCCCAATGTTGATAACATGTGTCTGCTCTCATTACGACATGATCAGAGTCCAAGCATGTGCTTTAGGATGAGCGATAGTCCTCGATCGGGCCTCCGAAATCGCTTAGAAGTCAATTTGACAAACCACTGTAAAAACGCCCTAATTGCACAATACAGGCATAGTATTTTATTGTTCGGTAATCGGTATTGAAAAGTAAATAAACCAATGTGCATTTTCCTATAACTAGTTAATATGAAGTTTCGGTTTTAACTAGACATTCTGTAGATGAAAGTAGTGGAAACTTTGAGCAGGATAAACAATGCCTAAAAGTTCCCTGAAGCCTTCAGTATTACTGTCTAGCAATCAGATGGACTTTTGGTAAGTCAAACAAACACAGGGAGAACTTTATACATTGTGCAGCATGATTAGACCAGTAGCTAGGGTTTTTAATTTTAAGCCACTAGGTTACAGTTTTAACCCGCGTCATGTGCTTCTATTTAAGCAACCGGGTAGTATCGATCTGTGCTTGGCAAAAGTCAATTTAATAAAATATGAACCAATGGTGATAAGACTGTAAACACAGTTTGTGTATATATCGATAGTCACTAAACTTCACAACAATTAAACCAACCTCCCAATTGAATAAAAAGTTTCTAATGTTACTTTTTTGAGCAACAGATACGTAGATGTTTATGCTTCTGCGGACTCGACAAAAAATAATTGGCTCAGTGTATTAGCCCGAATAAAACCTGTTCAGTTCAGAATGATAGATAATTTTTTTCATACTTCAGATATACAGCAGTTGATATTCATTTCATAAATTACTTGAAGCACCCTGTAGAAACCTAATTTACAGTTCAACCATTTTGTACCCATATAAAGGCAATTCAGGAGTAATATGTTTAAAAATATATTTGACCATCTATCCTTATTA